CTCTGGCCCGCTCGCCCGGCTCGACTGGATACGGGCGGGGCTCCGCGCGGCTGGCGCCCGCAGGACCAGAAAAGTGACTCGGGAAGTGGCCAGATGTCTTGCTATCTGTCTACAGCGCGCGCCGCCGCTCAGCACTCGCCTTTATAATCTCACGCGTAATTGGCCTTAATCTGATTATTTCCAGCGCTGTCTACAGCGAGTAACTTGGATAGGTCTACTGGGCCTTACAAATGGCCCACGTGGTGTAAAAAAAAAAAAAAAAAAAATCCGTCATTTCTCAGCAAACATCAGGAATGTTTTTCCTCTTTTCTTTTAAAAGAAGGTTGAAACAATCACCACTACCACTATCCGCCAAAAAGCATTATTTTCTGAACACTCCACCCCACCCCCACCCCAAGTTCCCTCTGACTCAAACCTTCTTTCTCGGGGAGAGCTTGGTTTTAAGCTCCCCTTTCAGGCCTGGTGACTCCTGGGCTGCAGACTGACAAAGCGCTGCTAATTGTCGCCACCGGATGGGTTTTGGGGGGACTCTGCACACGGCTTCCCTTTCCAAGCGACCGTACAAAAGGAAAGTTTGATTTTGTTCTCAGCAAGGGGTCCCAGAATTTATGTTCGCTTCTCCATGCAAATGATATGCGGTGGGACCCTTCGCAATTACTTTTAAAATGCATCCGAGGCAGAAGCTCAGCGGAGAGACCGCCTTCCCTCTGCCTGGGTGAAAATTAAACTCTAAAGTACCGGGCTGAAATTTTCAAGTCAGGGGTGCGGGATTGGATCAAATCACATAAACTGCAAAAAAAAGCAAGTCTAATGGCACATAATTGGTTCTGTAATAGCATTACACCAGGATAATAGCCCGTTACGGCCCCCTGAACTATTAAGTGCTTCCCTGGCGGAAAGCCTTTATGATATTAAAGGGGGAATATAATGATATTTTGGTTATTAAATGCGTGTAATTAATTTATGCACCACTGAAAATAAAGTTGGTATTATGACCCACTCAAGATGCATCAGAAGATGCAAGTCAGACAACTGTTGATAAGTTCTGGTGTCTGTGTTCCGTCTAGACTGCTGATTTTATTTTGGGACGATGGTTTCTTGGACAGACTACATAAATTGAATATTTTATAAACATTCTAATGCTGCGTTCAGGAGCCCTGGAGAGGCGGTGGGTTGGGTCCCTGCACCGCCTGGGATCCAGCCTTGATCTTAAAGATACATTGAGTTGGAAACAAAAGGCCTGGCAGGGCCACACGTGGACACCCGCTCCGAAAGAGGCTCATGGAGCTGGAGGGCAGATTACTGGGGCCCTGACCGGCCCGTGGACGCCCCTCCGAAAACCGCCAGGAGGAAGATGCAGCACGGCTCCTGCAGAGGCAAGTCGGGGCCGGTGCACTTCAGCGGCCCCTCCTGGGCTCAGCCCGCCCAGGCGCGGAAAGTCGACCCAGTCACGCGGAAGGAACCGCTGGAAACGCCGGCCGGGTTCAGAGCGGAAAGAGCCCGCTGCGCCAGCTCCGCCAGGTCCACCGACTCCGCGAGTCCAGGTGACCCGCCGGCGGGCAGCACGCGTGCTGGTCTGGGCGGCGGGCGCGGTAACAGACAGGGCCGGCGGGCCATTTCCACTTCATCCAGAAAGGGATGGAGCCCGGAGAACTGACCCTATTTCAACCCAGGCCAGGAAGCTCGGCGCGCTCTCTCTCCCTGTCTCCCTCAGAGCACCCTTGCTCTCTGGATCTCTTTTCAAGAGCCCGAGTCTCCCCTTGCGCGCTTGGGTTTGCCAAAAGCCCCCTCAAACTCCCACCTGCCCTAGACGGCATCCCCCCTCCTGCAAGAGCCCCGCGCGCTCCGGAGCCTAGTGCCTGTGAAGCGGGGTGAGGAAGACATTCGGGCGGGCCCGGCCAAGATGCTCCAAGGAGCACCTGAGTATCTGTACGGGAACTCAAGGCACCAGGCGCCCAGCGCCGCGTTGGCCCCAGAAACCAATGAGGTCCAAACCCCAGTTTCAGCTCCCCATCCCTGACATCCGCCAAAGCCGTTTCTTGGCAAGGCCCAGAGATGTCCCGGGGGCTGGACAGGCTTGTTCTGGGTCGGCGGGCAGCGCGCTCCCAGAGCCTCCCGGTCAGTCAGGACCCTGGACAGCGGCACCTGTTCCTCCTGGGCTGCAGAGGGAAGAGACCAGTCACAAGGGCCGCTCTGTGGCCCTGCGCTGCGCCGCGGCCGGACGCGCCCCGCCGGATTCTGGGTGTTGGGGGCCCGATCCCAATCCTCTCCTGGTCCAAACCTGAGAAAGTTACTTGGGACGCGCGCTCAGTGCTCGCAGCAGGGACGAAACCCTCGGCTCCGCAGACCCACGCCCCGCTCCTGCCCCGCGGCTACGGCCGGGAAGCTTCCCGCGGCCGGTCGCCACCTGGTCCCGGCTTTCCCAACGTCCCCGACGCGAGCCTGGTTGTCTCCCTGATGGGACACTTAGGCTTCCGCAAAACACCCACCTGGCGCGGGGCTCAGAGCCAGCGGGACCCTCGGCCTCGTCTCCCCCGAAGTTCCTCTCCCCCAGCAGGGAGGCCGGGCTCATTCCTGTTGGCAAAACAGTGAATAAACAACCAACCATGCAATCGCAGAGAGGAAAGGCTACAGCAAACTTTGATGACAACGCGGGCCCCTTTTTTTCCTCGGATTGTCTCTGACACTCGGGGCCGGAGAGAGGCGGCTAACATGTATGTATTCGCCACCATCTCCCTCCCCTCTAAAAAAGAGCGTTCGTTGGCAACGAAAAGGTTGTTTTTCCTTAATTCTTGTGCAGTAAAATGTATTTTCCAATTAACCAAATTCACCGATCTGTCCTGCTTGGACACTCTGATAATTTACAACCTAAAAGTGTACTTTCTTTATCTAAAGACCAAGGTGACTGCTTTTAATTTTCTCTAACCTCTTTACACTTGATGTTCACCAGACTCATAATGTTAATTGGCTTCATATACGGATCATCAGTTTAATGAAGAAATAAATCCTGTGTTGCTTTATGTTTTAACAGTGATTGCTTTAATGAGGAATGTGACGTGTTCCAAAATCAAAGCTGCAGGAGACATCAGAGGGGGCTTCTATTAGGACGGAAATGCTTATTTAAAGTTAAAACCACGGGTCATATTTCAACAGATTCTCACACCGCTGCCCTCCCTAACCCCACCTGGGTTGCTTCCAGCCTCTGGAAGGAGACAATTCTGTGGTTGGTCCTCAAAGGCTCCTTCTCTCCGTATTTAATGCACAGCAGCCACAGTCTCCATTCCCTCTAACAATCACTTTCTGATTACTAAACAGGCATGCTATGTTACCTCCTGTCCAGCAGAGCAGAGAGAAGCCGGAACAGAATGGGGAGTTCAACTTTCAAGGTTGTTCATTTAAAAAAAAATAATAAAACCAAGTGGGAAGAGAGTAACACACACCCTAATATTTGTGTGTGGATGTTGCAGAGAGGCTCCCCCGTGCAGCGCATCCCTACCCCTGAAAACCCAAGCCTCCGCTCTTAGACAGACAGCTCCGGCTTGGGCCAAGTGGACCGCTGCTGACCCAGGCTCTGGCCCCTGAGAATGTCTGCAGGGGATGCACTGGGCTCCCATCTGGGTGATGGTAGCTTTCCATCTCTGTATCAATTAATGAGAGTAAATCTGCTTTCTCTAATGGGTGTTTGATTTTTCTAATTTTAAGCCTGTTCTATGAAGGGAGAACTGTCACCTCAAAAACACTGAGAGCAACAATAAAATGCTGGAAATTGGAGCACCTATGCCTGGAAGCCCTAAATTGTCTTTCAGTTGAATTATGAGTTATTTTTAATTGATTCCTGAAAAGAATCCCAAATCCTTAGAAAATGTAGGGAGCTGAGGCTCCAGGTCAGTGTCTCAACCACACATGGTATTTATTTCTTACCATTTGCTCTGTTTTAGGAAAACGGAGAAACATTTGGAAACACCACTGTCAACACCTTCTGAGCCTGAATGCATGAACATATGTTGGATCTGACATCTCAACTGTGCTCCGAAGAGATTTTTCCAACCTCCCTTTTAAAACTTTCTTTAGCAGAAACAGTTTTAGTAAACACGGTTTAAAACCATAACAGTGGGCTAAAGCAGATAAAATACTTACATTTTCAGGGAGAAAAAAAACACACTGAATTCCTAATTATGTGTTTTTAAAGTGTCTGGGTGTTTTGTAATATTGTTTCGTTATTAAATTTTTTAAAGTCTCTCTGGTGTAATACTCAGCGTCCACACAGCTCTCCCAAGACAGAAGGTGCAGCATATGCATGTTCAGTATGGACCCCACACATCCTCTATTTGTCTGCAAATCTATTGTCATTTTGTAGTTTTGGAAATTGCCAAGAAAGTTTGCAATTGCTAAACACAATGGAATATGTGAGGGAAAAAAAGGAGCTAATTGAAATTCCAGATGAACAGGGGACTATGAACAGAAGGAAAAAAAAAAAAAATATATATATATATATATATATAGCAGGGGATCAATATGCATTTTATCTTGGAAATTTCCTATCATTCATTAGTTTTACTGTCATGTAAAAGTAATAGCAGCTACTTAAATACAAGCCAACTTCTAATAATCTCACCTGCAGTGGCCACAGGACAAAGTGTATTCTCATGTGGCTCTCAGGGAATCTCAAAGCTGGCTCCAGTCTGCCTAATCCTCACGAGGTAAGAAAGCCTTACACCTGAGGC